TGGCCGACTGACGTGCTCCTCTCCGCCTTCATATTTACGATTAAATCGGAGTTAAATTGTTGCAGACCTCACATCTCCATCAACATACACACAAATACGATGTGGTATGGTATAATATAACGTAGTACACACATATATATCTAAATGGTAATGAAAAGCATAGCGTACATAAGGCGCCCGGACAGGAAATGTACCGGCGATACCGTCGCGTAATACGTTAACAGTTTCTTATGATTAACTCGAAGAACATTACGGAAGTTGAAGAATCTGAATATCGATTATGGGAAAATCTGGTCGATGCCTGGGCACTTTTTCTATTATTTTTCATATAATACGAACCTGCGTACACTTATTTCATCTCATCGGAGACCGATAATCAGTTCGCAGTCATTTTGCTCTCATTCCTTCGTTATTATAGATGCATATACATCACCGATAATTTAACGTCGATAATAAGAACTATCATGTCCATATAAAGAGCTAATTTACTTCAGTTTATTTGATTGTCTAATAAGATACAGCCGGTATAAATTACAACGAGACCGTTTTATCGGAAAAGTTTAAGGTAATAAGTTATCCAAGCCTGCGCTACCGTTCGATCTATGGACTTGCAGACAAAGATGCTAATTTTAAACGAAATATGTACAACATTAACAAATCGGTTTCCGAAGATTGCTTATCGTTAACTAGTAGAATAAATAAACTTTACGATATCCTTACTTTAATTATCTTATTATTAACAATTATAATAATTACTCAATTAAAAAAGTGTGGTATGTAATGTTATTAAAGATCCATTTCTTCCCCTTTTCAAGATATTACAAAAATTAAAGCCAAATTAAGACTAAGAGTAGATACCTGTTATAATTTATTATCGGAAACCGCACCGCACTTATAGACAATTAAAAAATTGGAATCTAATTAACGTATATGGGCGTTCATGTAGTACCCAACGAAAGTAGGGAAAGAGCGAATATAAAAATAGGTGACGAAAAATTAGAAGAAGTGGTTGATTTTAGATATCTAGGAAGTCAGATAGTAGGGATATAAAGCGGAGGATAGCGCAGGGTTGTGTCGCCTTTAATAAAAAGAAATCACTTCTATGCCCGCGGACGGTTAATTTAGAAATTCGAAAAAGATTGTTAAAGGTGTATGTTTGGAGCGCGGCGTTGTACGGGTGTGAAATATGGACAGTGGGCGCGGCGGAAAAGAAAAGGTTAGAAGTGTTCAAAATGTGTTGTTATAGGCGAATGATGAAGATAACGTGGATAGAAAAGATTAGAAATGAAGAGGTATTAGAAAGAATAGGAGAACAGAGGACCCTATGGAAGTCAATAAGAAATAGGGGAAAAACCATTAATGTAAACTGGTGGACCGCGCTCCAGGTCCGGACCGCGGAAAGGTAAAAACTGGACCGCCAAAAAACCAAAAATTGTTTGAAAGTATATTATTCAAATTATTTAAAAAATATTATTCTGTATATAACAAAGTATGTTTTAGCTTTGAACGCCACCCTTATCATTTTTTGGAGGAAGAAATATTTTTTTTCTGAATTTCGATAAAAATTTTCGAAAATATCCAGGCCCCACACAATATTACTTGCCCACCCATAATATATATTATAAAATTAGCTGTTGTAAATGTCACCAAAATTAAAATGTTGACAAGTTCATGCACCATCGATAACGATACTTGCCATCCACATTTGGGCGGGTTTAGCTAGTTTATAGCATTTAATTAGTTTTAGACAGATTGGACAAATTATAAATAATAAATAAATAAAATTAAAGAGTTACGCACTACGATTAAATTGCTGGATAGGTATCTGTAGATACTAGAAATTATTAGTACAAAAAACGTTCAAACTAGAATTTAGTAGCAAGTCAATAAGAAGCTATTTACTACCGGAAATTGATAAGAACCACACCTTTCTGATTTAGTGCTGGGGCTTAGGGCTGGTTACTTACTCCTTGGAGTAAATCCAGTAGTGGCCGACTGACGTGCTCCTCTCCGCCTTCATATTTACGATTAAATCGGAGTTAAATTGTTGCAGACCTCACATCTCCATCAACATACACACAAATACGATGTGGTATGGTATAATATAACGTAGTACACACATATATATCTAAATGGTAATGAAAAGCATAGCGTACATAAGGCGCCCGGACAGGAAATGTACCGGCGATACCGTCGCGTAATACGTTAACAGTTTCTTATGATTAACTCGAAGAACATTACGGAAGTTGAAGAATCTGAATATCGATTATGGGAAAATCTGGTCGATGCCTGGGCACTTTTTCTATTATTTTTCATATAATACGAACCTGCGTACACTTATTTCATCTCATCGGAGACCGATAATCAGTTCGCAGTCATTTTGCTCTCATTCCTTCGTTATTATAGATGCATATACATCACCGATAATTTAACGTCGATAATAAGAACTATCATGTCCATATAAAGAGCTAATTTACTTCAGTTTATTTGATTGTCTAATAAGATACAGCCGGTATAAATTACAACGAGACCGTTTTATCGGAAAAGTTTAAGGTAATAAGTTATCCAAGCCTGCGCTACCGTTCGATCTATGGACTTGCAGACAAAGATGCTAATTTTAAACGAAATATGTACAACATTAACAAATCGGTTTCCGAAGATTGCTTATCGTTAACTAGTAGAATAAATAAACTTTACGATATCCTTACTTTAATTATCTTATTATTAACAATTATAATAATTACTCAATTAAAAAAGTGTGGTATGTAATGTTATTAAAGATCCATTTCTTCCCCTTTTCAAGATATTACAAAAATTAAAGCCAAATTAAGACTAAGAGTAGATACCTGTTATAATTTATTATCGGAAACCGCACCGCACTTATAGACAATTAAAAAATTGGAATCTAATTAACGTATATGGGCGTTCATGTAGTACCCAACGAAAGTAGGGAAAGAGCGAATATAAAAATAGGTGACGAAAAATTAGAAGAAGTGGTTGATTTTAGATATCTAGGAAGTCAGATAGTAGGGATATAAAGCGGAGGATAGCGCAGGGTTGTGTCGCCTTTAATAAAAAGAAATCACTTCTATGCCCGCGGACGGTTAATTTAGAAATTCGAAAAAGATTGTTAAAGGTGTATGTTTGGAGCGCGGCGTTGTACGGGTGTGAAATATGGACAGTGGGCGCGGCGGAAAAGAAAAGGTTAGAAGTGTTCAAAATGTGTTGTTATAGGCGAATGATGAAGATAACGTGGATAGAAAAGATTAGAAATGAAGAGGTATTAGAAAGAATAGGAGAACAGAGGACCCTATGGAAGTCAATAAGAAATAGGGGAAATAGGTTGGTAGGACACCTTCTCAGGCATGAAGGTCTAGTCAGAGACATATTAGAGACAGAAACAGGAGTAAGGAGGGGTAGAGGTAGACCTAGATTAGACTAGGTACTGCTCGCAAATGGTTAAAGATGTGGGATGCTCTAGTTTTAAGGAAATGCGAAGATTATTTCAGGATAGGAAAAACTGCAGGTGCGTGTACAACCAATCTTAGGACTGAGGTCCTTATGGTGACGATGATCATAACATATGTGCCATGTCATTGCTCTATTAAAATCGACTAATCCCACACTGCATAAAGTTAATATACTTACATAGAACGTAGATACTACGTGTCCAAACCAAAATGAAACGTTTTTAGCATTTAAGTAAGTAGGCAAAAATTGATTNCTCGCGAACGGTTAATTTAGAAATTCGAAAAAGATTGTTAAAGGTGTATGTTTGGAGCGCGGCGTTGTACGGGTGTGAAATATGGACAGTGGGCGCGGCGGAAAAGAAAAGGTTAGAAGTGTTCAAAATGTGTTGTTATAGGCGAATGATGAAGATAACGTGGATAGAAAAGATTAGAAATGAAGAGGTATTAGAAAGAATAGGAGAACAGAGGACCCTATGGAAGTCAATAAGAAATAGGGGAAATAGGTTGGTAGGACACCTTCTCAGGCATGAAGGTCTAGTCAGAGACATATTAGAGACAGAAACAGGAGTAAGGAGGGGTAGAGGTAGACCTAGATTAGACTAGGTACTGCTCGCAAATGGTTAAAGATGTGGGATGCTCTAGTTTTAAGGAAATGCGAAGATTATTTCAGGATAGGAAAAACTGCAGGTGCGTGTACAACCAATCTTAGGACTGAGGTCCTTATGGTGACGATGATCATAACATATGTGCCATGTCATTGCTCTATTAAAATCGACTAATCCCACACTGCATAAAGTTAATATACTTACATAGAACGTAGATACTACGTGTCCAAACCAAAATGAAACGTTTTTAGCATTTAAGTAAGTAGGCAAAAATTGATTGATGAGTATTCCAGTTCAGCCGTCATATTTGACACTTCTTTTCTTTTCAATAGCCCTTATCTCATATTTTATTCATCCTACAGCAATCCAGGTGGTTCGTCGAAATTTACTCTTCAATTAAGTCTAGTTACACGAAATGAAATTGTCCTATGCACTAGAAAATAGTGGTCATAGTATAAATTACGAATCGCAATTTCGTAGTTTTGCCCCCATCTGAAGTACATCTGAAAAATGTAACAATATTGCTACTAATTCTCTGTAGAATTCATTCGTTAGATAGACAATAGACGTACATTCATGATGAGCGAGTAGAAAACATGGTTGAGATTGCCATGGCGCTTATACGGAAATTCCTGTCGGACGTATGTGTGTTACTGTTAAATAAATAATTATTAAAGACTATATCAGCGCGTAACCTTGACCTAATAACTGAATGACCGTCTATTGAGTTAAATGTTGCAAGTCGTTTATCTTTCGTGAATACGTCAAACAAACCGAATACATTTTTTTTATTACTTACAATTATTATGATAACAGACATTTCGTGAATGCGAGCGGCTTTATAAAGTAGTAGTAGTAGTAGTAATAAGAAATGGATAACGTGGAAAGGAAAATTATTCATTAGCCAGTTTCCTTTTGATTTCAGAAACATGTCCTCTAAGAGAAAGTCGCCTCCGACAAAACTTCAAGAAGGCGCGTCTATTGGTGGTGGCATTGAAGAGTCGGCTCCCCTGCCTCCCACGATAGTCGGGGGAGGTAGCGACGGCGGCGGTCTCACAGACTTGGACGAGACCAGTAGCAACAATCTGAGCGACCTGGGCGAAGAAGACTCGTCGACGATGGTGAGCAATTCGAACGCGTTCTACAAACTGTCCGACACATCATCACCGTCAGCATCCGGCAGCGAAATCGACGACGGGATAGAGGACGACCGGTGTCCTCCGCATAAAAAACAAAGAATGATTTGTACGAGTCAAGATCCTCAAGTCAATCCGAACATTCTTGTACCCGGATCACTGGTGGGTCTCGGGATCCATCCGCAGGACGCGGCGGAAAATCGAAGGAGAAACTCGTCGGAGTGTAGTTCACCCTCGTCCGATTTCAAAAATAGTATTCATTACAATAACAATAACAGTAGTTTGCATAATAACAATAGTTCCTCGCATGCAGTGAAACGGTCCATGGACGATGTGTTGAAACGGTTAACGTCAAAAATGAACTCCAGTACCATCAAGGAAGAGAGAAGGCCTACGCCATCTTCGACACCTAACTCAATTAACAACTCGTAAGTTACTTTTTCTTTAATACGGTAAAAATTTCGTATCTAGTCATTATTTGGCACGAAGAAAAGTATGTACCTACTTGAATTTACTGTACCTACTTTAATATCAATGCTTTTCTAAAATAGGAGCCATAAAGAGCATATTGTGATCACTTTTTTTTTATAATTACATACGTATATTTTATAACTTTATGTAAGTATTAATAAATGTTGAGTACTTACATACTTACAAAAGCAAATATTAGGAAGGGGATTCAGATAAGGATTCACACTTTCGATCTATGTATCGTTAAAGATAGTATAGTAAGGAGGAGTTAGAGATCGTTTCTTACATAAAACGGAAACGGTATTGACAAAACAGTATTGTATGAAAGTAATTACATAAAAGTAAAACAAAAATATTGGCATGCAAGGGAAGAAAAAGTAAGCAAATAATGAATATAAATGTAGGAGACGAAAAAAATGGAAGTTACTGATTTTTGGTATCTAGGAAGTTAGAGAACTCAATATGGAAGAAGCAATAGAGAAGTCTGGCGTAAGGTCGAGTCTTCTTTTCAAAAAGCAGTCACATATGCTCGCGAACGGTTAATTTAGAAATTCGAAAATGATTGTTAAAGGTATGTCTGGAGCACAGCTCTATACGGATACCAAACATGGACAGTGGGTGCAGCGTAAAAGAAATGATCAGGATATTGTGGTAGGTTGGTGGGACACCTCAAGCATGAAGGACTAGTTAGAGATGTATATTAGTATCAGAAATAGAAGTTAATAGAAGTAGAGGTAGTCCTAGATTAGATTACTGTTCGGTAATGGTTGAAGATGTGCGATGCTCTAGTTTTAAGGAAAAGCGAAAATTATCTCAGAATAAGAAAGAGTGGAGGTGCGTATCCAACCAATCCTAGGATTGACGACCTTATGGTGATGATAATCATAGCCTATGCCATATGTCATTGCTCTATTAAAAAAAACGTAGAGGCTATGTGTCTAATCCAAAATGAAACGTTATTAGCATTTAAGGAAGTCGGCAAAAATTGATTGATAAGTATTCTTCAATTTCTAATCCATTATCTATTTTACTAGGGGAAAACCATCATAAGCGAAAATTCTACTTAAAATTATACCATCTTTTCTCTGTAGGATGATTTATTTCCCAATACCCACTCCATATAACGGGTACAATTGCTCAATAAAAACTTCTGAGGTAGCCGGACTCGCGTTATTTATATTGTCAATAAAACCACACCCACCTAAGATCCCGCGAATCGAATGTTCATTCTCCGTTGCCACGGAAACGAAGAAGAAATATATTTTTTGTTTGACATCTTTTAGTGTGAATTTTTAAATGTTCTAGCCCCATTACTACCATTGTACAAGCTCATGTCGAAATCTGTTTTCTTTTACAGCATACTGTGATTTCCTTGTGATTAATGAAAATAACATGACAACTCAATAATAACACGATCTGCTTTAAAAAACAACAAGGCTTGTCATTTACTTTTTATAGAATTGTTAGAATTTTCATAAACACGTTTCTGCATTTATGTGACACAAAACAAATGAATCCATAAATAAACGAAACTCGACTGTGCTTCGCAGTGGCCGCTCGTGAATATTAAGTGTATAGGTAAAAAGAAACAATTAGCAATTTTACTGCATAAGAACTTTTTTATTGAAAAAAAATCTCAAAGTCATAACGGAAGGAGTAGTAGGGATATAATGCAGAGGATAGCGAAGGGTCAAGTCGCCTTCAATAAAAAATAGTCACTTCTGTTTTTGAGAACGATTAATTTAGAAATTCGAAAAGGGAGGTGATTAACGGATGCAAAACAAACGGTGGGCATGGCGGAAAAGAAAAAGTTAGAAGCGTTCGAAATGTGGTGTTACCGGCGAATGATGAGGATACCGTGACTAGAGAAGGTTAGAAATGAGGTATTAGAAAGAAGTCAATAAAAAATGGACGAGATGGGTTGGTAGAACACCTTGTCAGGCATGAAGGTCTAGTCAGAGGCATATTAGAAGCAAAAACAGGAGTTAGGAGGAGTAGATTACATTACTGTTCACAAATAGTTAAGGATGTGGGATGTTCTAGTTTTAGATGATGATTTATTTATTGATCAACAGAAAGCCTATTTCACTCATGCTTAAATGTAAAATAACAATAACTGACCCTAGTCTTCATGGAACCCCTCGACAATTTTTGGATAGCTTCCTTTGTAAGGAGCATCGTTGAGGTTAGAAAAATTAATTTATACCTGCTTATTTTTTTAATTTTGGGGTTTATAGAAATTTTTAATGTTTATCAGTCGAAGTTTTGCGTATCTTTGATGAAAACGTCAAACAAAACTTTGACAATATTATAAATCATAAACAATTAGACGAGAATCTATCATCATAACGAGAGCAATAGTTGATGACGATGTAATGATGAGCAAACGCCATCGTCATAACCACTCCTAGAACTTAGTCATAGTCTGGGTCTTGCGCTATGAGTCTCTTGACCTTTTTTTTTGCATATGTCTAGAGCAAGTAGTCTTGACGAGATAAGATACTCAGCTTGTTCATTTTGATATATCCTCGTATCTTCCTGTTTATATTTGTTGTTATATCTTTGTATTGTTTATATTACCTTCTTTTTCAAAGCAAGACAAGATCGATATATTCTTGACCTCTACGACATAACGTATAAACCACCTCAGTCTTAGGATACGTTTATGTTGAAGACGCGAGACGATGTTGATCGTCACTCCTAGATAGACACTCGAAAATCAATGCCAGGCTATCGCCGTTTCGCTCTGCTCGCAGCTTGCATCCTCAACGTAAACGTACCCTTAGACTTTGCCGTGGCCTGTTTACTTCCTGACGGCATCATTGCCTGATAGTCTTACTTTTGACAAAAGATAAATGCCCCTTTTTGATCTTTTTCGTCATCCGCCACTGATGTTGCGTCAGCATCACGAACGCAGCGACTCGTGTTATAAAGTGCATCGCATTTATGAATAGAGATAAGTAAATTTAATTCAATGTTAACGTTCAAGCGTGTTTGACATTCTGTTAATTTTCAAATGAATTTCAAATCGAGGATGCCTAATAAGTGTTACATCAGTAAGAAATGTCAAAAGTTCGCCATTATCGGTACAAAATGCGGATGATCTAATAAATAAACAAAAGTCAAGGTGATTGGAGTACTAAGGTCATTTGAAAATTTAAGATTTTCGCAAAACAATATAGCCACGGGTTTTCAAAACATTCCGTATTAGGATCAGTTGTCGAATCAATATCCACATAAGTCATGGCCAGCAATAATACGAATGATAACACTTATCTCATTGTTACATTTCGTACACAAAATTTGCGCGGAATAATTGGTATAATCGCATAATTACCTACATTTCTTTAAAGTATAATTTATTATTACTCTTTTGGCGCCATCTAAGGATGTTGGTATGAGAGAGGCCTCAAAAGTAAGACATTTCATTCTAAAAGTGATATAAATATAACTAACGTACTCAGGATCTTCCCGAGATAAAAATGTTCAGTCTCTCAGAGTTTCTGAAAGCGAGACTCGAGTCTCCGTCTCTCATCAAGTCTCTGGTGTCGCTGAGAGAGACTGTCAAAAAAACTGTTTAGCGTCTCCGAACAAGAGACTTGAGTCGCTCATAGAGAGATCCTCATTTCGTATCCAGTCTTTGAACGAGAGACTCAAATCTCTCAATAAGTGGTGTCTCGATAGACATGGTTAAAATTTTCAAAGTTCAACATATTTCAGAGATCTCAGTCTTTCTATGAGAGACTCGAGTCTCAATTTTTCAGTTTTATTCATTCAGTCTTTCTGTGAGAATCTCTGAATTAACAATTTTATCGTTCGAGTCTCTCATACTGAGACTGTGAGAGATCCATAAAAACACCTAGGCAGTAACTGAGAGACTCTGAAAGACTGGAGAGAGACTGAAAATTTTTGTCTAGGTTTATAGCGCATTATACTCCTAGTGAGATAAAATGGATTTCACGCGACTAATGACTGGCACATTTAGCATATTCCACATGATTATTCAACGAGTGAGTTTTTAACGGGATTTTAAATTCTTAATAAAAATGTACCTTTGTGCACAATAGCAAAGACATTGATGAAAAATAGAAGAATATACGTTATTCTTAGAATTGCATTATCTTTCGAATGACACCTCACTCAACTACAGTACATTTCAAATTTTTTGTTTTTTTAACCCTTTATACGAATACAACTTTCACAAAATCCGTTCTTAATGCGCTCCTGTCTATTAGTCAGAATATGCTATCAAAAATTCAAACCGATCCAATTGTTTTGGCTGTTCGTTGGTCATCAGTCAGTCAGTCAGTCAGTCAGTCAGTCAGGTATCCATTTTCATCTGTCTAGCTTAATTTTCCGAGAGGAAGCTAAAAAAGACCTTCACGCATCACCTTCGTCATGCGATTTTCGGCTGGATTTTTAATATTTGGTTATTTTAGGTCTAAAAATGAGGTGTTTAACCTGATTAGAGTAAATTGGACTATGTAATATGTTTTCTATAGGCGTTCGGTTCTCAAACCACTTCAAAAAAGATTTTTTTTTGATCTTATTTAGTTCCTTCTTTGATGTCGTCTTTATCTCCTCAATCGTAGCGTAGCGTCTTCCTTTCATGGGCCTCTTTCAGTTTCGGGAACAAGAAAAGGTAATGGGGGGCCAGATCTGGGGAATAAGGTTTTGGCTAAAAATTCGCGCACAAGCAACGATATGTCAGCAGGGGCGTTATAATGGTACAAAAGCCAATTTTTGTTCTTCCACAAATCCAGGTGTTTGCACATAACTTACAGGTAATATTCCTTATTGACCGTTCCACCCTTTGGCAGATGCACCGCGCCCCTGCAATCGAAGAAAACTGTAAGTAAAACCTTCACATTCGACCTAATTTGGCGCGCTTTTTTCGATCTTAGCATTGGGATGATTGAGCTTTGGTTTCCACATCATAACCATAAACCCATGATTC